GGGTGTTGAAGCAGATGGAACACTCGACGGGAGAGGTTGGCTTCGGAGATGTTGGGCTCAGAGAGCCTGGCTTGTCAGTTGGGGACCTTGCCTTCCTCTTGCCATCTCCTGGGGAGGTGACAACAATGGGGCTGATGGGGATGGGGATTTCACTTGGAGTGGCAGGGACCGGGCTGGTGGGAGAGTCCGGCGTGTTGGAGTGCCATAGCTGCGTGAAGCACGACATGACGGAGCCCGGGGAAATAAATAGAGCCCTGGGAGACTCTAGAAGAGAAGAAAACCAACGCCTTCATTTTAAAAAACATGAAAACACCCATCACCAGACCTATATTTAACCCCTTAAAAAGAACAAAGAGCAAGCTCATGACTTCCGCTGCATCCTGAGCCTGGAATAGATCCCTGCCAGAGGTGAGAATGACGCAGGTAGCCTGTTGGAAGCTGCGTACCGAGGGTGAAGTTTAAACATCCTGCAAAGAACCAAGAAACCAGCAGAAATCCACCATCCAGCCAAAGCCTTTTCACCAGAACCACCGTGGCGTTACAGACGGGTGCAGTCTTCCCCCATATATGCCTCCCTCTGGGCAGAAGAAACACAACAACGACCACCTACCCCGGCTGGTGCTCCACGCCACCCGAGCAGGGAGGAGAGCAGAAGACTCCATGAGGTCACGTAGGGACCTCGCTAGGGCAGCCTATTAGTCTGGGAGGCACTCAGATATTATGGTGGCAGCATGAGCAAGGCCTAAGAGACAGATAACAGCGTTCAGTTGGGGAGGTAGCGGGGAGGGAGGGTGAGCCTCTTCTCTACGGCGTGCTCAGACAGGGCTTCATGCCTCAAGTCACGGTTCTGCCTGGCAAGCAAGCGCGGCAACACCCAACGATGCTGCCTGAGTTTGTCTGTCCACTGTCTGCTCCTCCCCTCTGAAACAGGAGCATCCAAGGTTGGTGAGGAACCACTGTCTTCTTGCAGCTTGCTCCATCCTCAGCCCCGAGCAGCACGAGAAGCACCTCCGTCTTGTCACCGTGACACAGCAAGAAAAGCAACGTTGGAGGAAATGGCCTTGGCGGCAGAGCGCGGGGAATTCGCCGCCGTTTCCTTGTTGCTGTGTTTTCCCTAGAGAAACGCAGCTCTTCCCTGTCCTGAGCCCTGGAGGAGAGCCAGCACGGCCCCAGCCTCGCTGCCACGCGCTCTCTGCTTCGCCATGGTGTGCAGGGCAGGAGCCTTGAGCCGAACAGCCAACACGCCACTTGCAGCAAATTGGGTTTACAGCTTACTCCAGCTTTTCCAGCTTGAACTCCAGTTATCCTGGGCTAGGCATGCAGCTTCCCATACATTCTGATTTTCAAATATGTGACTTTTTTAGCTATCGAGCGCTTTTACCTGAAAGCAAACGTTTAGCTGGAGGAATTTCCCCTGATGCCGTGTGCCCAGGGAACATTTTTTTAGGATGTGTCACTGAACTAGCCAGGCTTGATTCTTTGTGTTGGGAGATTTACCGATGACAAGCCAGAAACGTTCAGATTGCTGCTGTAATTACAGGTCTCCAGTCAGCCCAGCAGTGGCTCACCTGCATGGGCTAGAGACTCCATGTCTGAAAACTAATTTAAGGTATCAGAATAGACCACATATTCCTCAGATTGTACCAAAAAGTCTCCCTTATGTAAGAATTAAGTATTCTCCCTGCTATCCTTGCCAGAGCTCAAACTAGCTTTAAGAACCTTCCTTCATTTTCTTATTCTATACACAGAATTTTTTTGTGAAGTCTCTCCTCAATTTCAATTTTCAGTCACGGACTATCTGTGCTTTTCAGCAAGTTGTGATGTTTTTAATGTATTTTTTTTTCCCTGTCTACAGCTCACCATGCAGGTTTTAGCACCATCTGGCAGATGCTGATGAGTTACAAATCCAAGCCGAAGTTGGCAGAGAGTTGAGGGAAACTCCTGGGTTTTGTTTCTTGTCTTTGTTTGTTGGGCTTTTTGTTTTTACTAAATTTTCTGTTTTGCAGCCCTCTGCTCCCCTACGCCTGGTTCTTTGCAATCCTTTGGAGTGTTTGGCAGAAATTACGAGCAAAACCAGTGGCAGAAGGTAACCCTCAGAAAGAGAGAGCCTCTGCTTATGCAAGCTGTGATTGCATAACCTGTGTGAAAAGCTGTAGAGCTGTTCCGCTGGGCTTTTTACTAGTTTATAATATAACAGTTAGAACAACAGCAGTATCTCAGTCGTAAACTTGCGGAAGTTTACTCACAACAGTTGTTGTTAAACGAAGGTAAAAGCTTTTACCCACATTTTCCCTTTGCTAAAGATGATCGTGACACTGTAGATGCTTGTTAGTTCTAATAAATTTAGAGCCTACTTATTTTTATCGATTTTTGGCATTATGTTGCACCTTGATCGGACACGATCGAGTAGTCGACTTAAACTGGAGGGATCTGAATAGCAGAGCACGGAGCGAGGCATGGGAAAGACAGTTTTAATTCATGCTGTGCCACGCCAGACAGGTCAGCCTCTGCCCGCTTCTCGTGTCTTTTAACGTGTTACCCTAGTGCTGATGCTCAGAAAGGTAAATTGGGTTTGGGCAGCAGCTGACACAAGGACCAAGATTTCTCCTGCCTGTTCTGCTAAATGGGAGCCGGTCGCTAAAGCTGGAGAGTCCCAGTGAAGACATGCAGTGCGGAATGTCAATAGAATTAGTTAAGGTTTGGTGGGGTTTTTGGTTGGTTTTTTGTCGGTTGGTGTGTTGTTGTTGTTGTTTTTTTTATTCATAATCACATGATTTTTTAATTATTATATTTTTTAATAATACAAGGCAATATCTTCAATTGACCACACTGCATTTCCTCAGACCCTGCACTTTCCCAGCTATTTACTCGGGCTTTCCAGAAATTTTGGGAACATCGCTAAATAACTAAAACCATTCAGGAGAGAAACATAAGCTCAGATTTAAAACTAAGTAGATAAATACTTTTAACTTCCCAGCAAGTTCTCGAAAACTTCTTTCCACACCATAAATCCAGACAAAAAGAGAACCCACTTTTAAGAGAGTGGCCAACGCTGGTCTGCAATACGCTTCCCTAATGGATCTTCATAACTCAGAGCAACGGAATACCCGGAAAGTTAAGAGGTGTAGAGCAGATTAAAGTCTATAAATACCTGTTCAGAGTGAGGTTTAAAAGGAGGAAAGCATGTTCTGGGCTCTTGATTTCTACCCCTGAAGAGTCTTCTCTCCAGAGGTCAGGCTCTTTTGTATTTACAAGCTGCCGTCTGGTATTTCAAGCTCCGCGAGTTGTTTCCGAGCACGGTAGGTCCGGCAAAGACAAGGAACCCCTACGAGCTCCCCGTGTACGAGTGGCCCCGCCGCTGTGATTCAGGTATCTTTTATACCTTCCTGTCTGGAGGTGACTTACCTGCTCCACCTGCCTTTCCCCATCGCCACTGAATCACTCCCTCGGCGACGAGCGCGCTCCCGCTCCGGCCGGTTTCTGTGACAAACAGGACAGGCTGGAATGCTCCTGATAAGGGACACCCGCCCCGTCTCTGCCCCAGGGAAGCGGTGGGAGAAATGTTTATTTTCATTTCTTCATCTTCTCCAGGTGGGGGAGGCCACCTGCTTTCTGGTAAACTCGTGCAGTTCTTCAATTTGTTTTTAGTTTGTTTTTTTTTTATTGCTTTTGGAAATCTGGTCCAGGTTGCGTGGGTGTACTTGTCGGCATTTTCACAGGGTGGCAAATCTTCCGAGAGAAAAATCTCAGGATGCCTAAAACCAGCAGTTATTGTTCTCTCGTTTCTTCACAAAGGTCAAATAATTTGAAAGCACCTTAGATTAACTGCAGAAACAAGATTCCGACAGTCTAGATTGAGGGGAAAAAAAATGGTTACACTAAAAAAAAAATCCAGTAGAAGTTTGAAAGCCTGAAAGCTGGTTATAAATTAATTGAAAAAAAATCATATGTCTGCTGCGAGCTCCTATACAATTGTTCCAAATAATACTGCAGGCATTGTCACAGAGAAGGAATTTCATTCTTCGCAGCTTTTGGTAGCAATTGACATGGAGAAATATTATTCGACTTGCAAACCTTTTGTGGTTCAAAGAACATCGATCTGTGATCCAGGAAAAAAGAACCAACAAATTTACATTCATGTGCAGATAAGGAGACAAATGGGGGGGTGGGGGGGAAGTAACAGAGCAACATAGGAAATCCAGCCTAGTTTTTATTTCTTGCAAATACTACATTTCTATGTTCAATTTCTCAAGAAAATATCACAAGGTGGCCTGTGGATTTTTCAGGAGGATATCAGGAAGTCCCTTAAAAAATGATTGTGAAACTCTAAAAATGCACGGAACTGTATTCGTCTCTTGGGACAGAAAAGGGTGCAAATCTCACAGATCTCCGTGGCAGCCAGATAAAACTCGCTTTGGCTTCCACATCCCTCTGCTTTGGGTCATGCCGTTCAGCTCTAGGCAGCTTCTAAGAATAAGAACCATTTAAACCATTTTTTTTTGTTTTGTTTTTTTTTAAACTGAGGTTACTCAATCCTTCCACAGCTGGAAGAATCTGGTCCAAAGGGTTGTTCGTCCCATGGATTCGTGATGAGCTCCATAGGTGACTGCAGAAAAACACCTCAATGGGGGACCTAGATCTGCATCACGCTCGCTCTGGAGCAGATTGTTAGAGTGTAGGAGTGACAACCCAGACCCCAGAGTGAGCACGGTGTCACCCCTTCATCTATTTATGTTGCTGCTCAGGGATGAGTGAGGTTGGGAGGCACTGTCTCCAGCTGGCAAAGCAGGATGCTTGATGAATGGATGTAAATCAGATTTCTAAAAGTCTTGCTCACTTAGTCACTTGCATGAGCACTTTGGTAAACTGGGCTCAAGACTAACAACGCTTCGGTAACACACTGGGGTACGTTGCGTTCGGTAACACACCGAGGGGCAAAAATTGTTGGTTTGGGTCCAGCTGAGACCCCCATCCCTGGTAGTCCGTGGAGCAACAGTGACTCGTTTTTTGGCCGTGCTCTGCAGAAACGTGCAGGCACTTTTTGACCCTTTTACCCACTGACGTGACCAGGATTGTTGAACTGCAGCGTGAGCAGATCACTGACTGGTTTCCCACCAGCCTCAATGTGACTGCTCCATGGAAGGGCTTGAGTCCAACCCAGGAGCCAAGAGCCTGGGGCAAACTGGGCTGCCCATACACTCCTCCCTCCGCAAGGATATACTGGGT